CACAGGATGGACTGGGACCTGTCAGGATGGGACCAGAGCTGCAGGTCAAAAGAGGAAGGCTAGTTTAAGGGCCAGGTGAAGGGCTGGTTCACAAGAGGTGAAACAAAGGAAGATAGAGAAGAAAACACCCATTTTAGAAAGAGTAGGGATTACTCTGTGTTAACGCACCCCAAGTGGGGTGGATCCAGAGCCTGGATTCACACCGTGGGTCTCAAGCAGAATTTGAGTGGTGAATGCAGCACTGAGACACCAAAAATGAGCACACAGCTGCTGCAGAAGCCTGCGGACACATAAACACCAGAGATGCTTTCCTCTTTCGCCACATTTCCCTGGGGCCAGGGCTCACATCTCAGCACATCACCAGAACGGGCCCATTTCTGACAGGGCCGAGCAGCTGGGGATGCAGGCATTCCTCTTCCTAAATCCCTGACGGGTCATGACTGGAGAGGCATTTGCAAGGCACGCTGAACACACTCGTGACTGACACGTCCCTTTAAACATTGCCACAGCAGAGGGGCCCCTTGGCAGCGCTCTCTTGCTTGCTGATGGGGCTAAAGCACTTACCCGAGCTGCAGAAAAGCACCTCTGTTTCCCCAGCAGTTATCTTCAGGATCTGGGAACCCAGCCTAGACCTACACTTAGCTTTCTTAGTCAGGCCAGCAGGAAAGCTGTGTTTCCTGGAAAAGGAAAGTTTGCATCCAGTTTGTAGGATAAGTATGCCTCACCTGGAGCAGTGTGTGGTACAGATCTGGAGGAATCTGCACGTCTACACCACGGTGGAGACAGGGAGGAGGATGCTCTTGTGGAATGGAGGGTGAACCATGGCAACATAGCCTGCGAATATTGCTGTAAGGTCATCTTCTCTGCAGTCTGCCAGGGCCCCCCAGCCCAGTGCAGGTGCAGATTAACATTGAAAAGGAGACCTTTAGTTAGTCAGAGCATGGTTGTATTGGCTGGGGCAGACCTTGGCAGCAAAGGCAAAGGTGTGGTTGTGTGCCCTACCTGCTATTCTGTCCCATGCAAGCCAATTCCTACTGCTGTGTATTTTTACAGTACAAGGACCAAGAAAATCTGACCGGCACTTTGCACAATGCTGATTTATAGCTTCAACCTTTAAGACTAATTTGCTTTTTTATCTCTTTTATATTGATTTTACTCCCTTCAGTGGCACGCCATAAATGATAGCATCCAAATATTTATTACACACATATCTTTGTTTTATGTCAATGCATGATTACAAGTAACAGAAGGCAATAAAAAAGGAATAGTGTGAGAACCATTGTGTGTACAATCACTGCAATAGCTGCTTGATTATATGTGCTTTACTTCACCACGTATAAATGCAGTCTACATTTCACCACGTGCTGTGGTCTTTAATAACCTGTGTCCTCAGGTTGATTCCTCTAGGTCTGAATTTCTGTACATGATCTTGAGTCAGGGTTTTCTTCATGGCCAGACTCCTCTCCATGTGCCACATGCCTGCAGATGTGTCCCCAGGCATACCTGGAGCCCGTGATCTGGGGTGTCTGCCCCAGCATGCTTGGGGTTGAACAGTGCCAGGCATAGCCAGGCAAGCTGCCTGGGAGACATGGCTGAGGTGGGAGGACTTCTCAATTCCAATTAAAGGTGGTTAAGCACCACGTCTATTCTGATACTCCCCCTCATATCTTTCTGTACATTCAGGGTCCTCAAGAAATGACTGAAGACACAAACACTGTGATCCTTCTCAATATGAATCTTAGTTCTGTTGTTGCTGTTGCAATCCCACAGAATCAGCACCCATCACACACCCCGACATCATTTCCCCTCTAATTCCTTTTCTTTATTCACCTATATCTCCATTTACTACTTCTGTGTGTGTCTTCTGTGTGTGTCTTCTGTGTGTGTCTATCAGACAGTATACACAATAGAAAAAAAAAAAAGACTGTGGAATTCTGTTCTTTTATTTATTCAATAATTTTCTGGAGGGGAAATATTTTTATAGGTAGGAAACCTTCCTTAAAGAAATATGAAATGGATAAAGATTCAGTTATCAAGTAAGAAATCAAAACCTGTTACAATAATCCATAAAGCCCAAAAACGTCTGGGGTGGTATAATACATTTTTATTGTATTTACTATGATATAACACATAACTCTTTTAATAACATAGGAGTGACTCAAATCAAACTGAGCAGAAAGTCCACCTATGTTCTTTAAGGGTCTTTGAAAAGATACATAAAAGCCTAACTGTATGAGATGTCTGTAATCCATTGACAAAACAAAAATACAGCGAAAGTGTGTGCCTCTGAGAAACACTGTATACGCTCTGCAAGCAGCTTCCAAACCGCAATATCTTAGCAGCTTTCAGTTTCCAAAACAAAAAGCAATAAACTATATAATGCACTGTTACACTGCCAAAATAGTTTTAGCCATAGTTTATGGTTAGATAAGCACAAATACGGCCAAAGTGAATAAGGTTTGGGACTTTTCTGTGTGTGTATATGCTTTAGAACAATCATATACATTTTTGTCTTATACAAGAAGAATTATTGGTGTACTCTAGTGCACCATAAATGGGGTTTACAGCCAAAAACTTAGTCCATTGTGTTGCAACTAAACTAGTTCTGTTTTGGCTATTAGGTTTTGTTTTATGGGGTTTTTTCATCTCAAGAAAAATGATAGGGCTAGCCAGTTTCTCAGTAGAGGCATGTCAAAGATTTACTACTTGGTTTGAAAGTCAATGGAAAGAGAGAGGTGTCATTTCAATTTGAAACATAATCTGAAGTGAGAGTATGTATGTTAACCATTCTTGGGGTTGCCAAGTGTGATCTAAATATGTGTCTAAAACACTGGTTGTGCCTATTTGTTCTTTCAATCAGTAACACAGACCAGACCAGATCATAAGGTGCTACTGCTAGCAGATCCTTGTCATCTGGACCAAAGCTCCAAGTTAATGCTCTATAATTACTAGTTACAGCTAAAAAAAGTCCCTTTTTATGGGAGAGTGTGGGCTGAATAATACCATAAGTTTACATATGACATCTTAGTTAACCTAAGCATTAAATTTAATACAGTAAGCACTTCATTGCATAGTTTACCCACCTCAAAAATTTTTATACTAAATCGCAGTGGGAAGACTCATCTCACACTCTTGCCTCCAATCGCCATATTCTCCCATGGAAGTAAAAGGAATTTTCTCTCTCTTTCTTCTTCATATCCCCATATTTAACTGAAATGTTGCCTGACCTTGAACTTCCCTAAGCAGTGTCTCCTCTTGGCTACCTAGGATTCAGAGGAACAGTTGGAAGAGCACCTCTGCTTTTTGAGTCTTGTCCATCCACGTGTATTGCTAGCAGTCATCAGGCTCCAGACCTTTTATCTTCCACTGCCCAGGCCAGCACAGTTTAGGAGAGCAGTGTTTTAGAGCTTTGAATGGCACCACAAACTGGTGTGCAGAAGGCTGTCACGGTAATATTCCAGATAGAAACACCAGAGACTGATTTTCTAAAACTGGCCAAAATTGATATTAAGAAACGCCTTTTTTTTTAATACCCAAGATACAGGATTGCAGTGTCATGTTTTCAGCTGAAAGCAACACTTCAAGGGGAAGCTTGAGGATTCACAAGGGCATATCAAATGAAAAAGAAAAACTGAAGGCCTTTTTATTATATTCTCTCTCAGATTTAAACTACAAATTTTCTCATTTCCGTCTCATCCCAAGGTTTTGTTGAGGCAGTTCTTGGTGGATAGGAGAAATATCAGTAACACGTTCTAAGAACTGATACTATTGCACCATTACTGAGATGGCAGGAGCTGACATTTACTGACCACTGACCATTACCTTGAAGTTTCATCTTCTTTGCTGTCCTTGTTCTGCTCATATCCACGACTTATGAAGACAGCATGATGTGAAACAAGATTTTCCCTGACACAGGATATTTCTTCACATTGCTATGCCTGGAATTTTTTGTTAATGGGTGGTAGCTGGAGGTCCAGAAAGGCAGTGCTACATGCAGGTCATGCAGTTCTCATGTTCCTGCCTACAACAGAGGTCTCAGGTCTAAATTTAATCAATGGTTAGCACTACACTCTGTAAGGAGGTAACTCTGTAACAAAACATCTTTTAGTCATAATATAAATAAGCTTTAAGAGCTTTAGGTGTCTACATTCCATTGCAAGCTGGGTCTTTAATTCCCCTAAGTTCTTAAAAAATCCTAGGCTTTGCTCATGTGATAATCAACATCATCACTGTCCTTCAAAAATTTGCAAATAACTAAGCAACTTAATTCTGGAATTAGCTGTCAATAATGCAAATGAAGACAGTAGAGAACCTGATCAAATTTAAGTCTGGGCCATGTGATAAATTCACAAATTATCTTTGTTTTTTTTTATCAGAAGACTGTTCCTGGATTCCTTGGAAATGGTATCTAGTTATTAGCAGTAAGCATTAATTTCCCACAAAAATTATTTGAGTTTAAAAGCCAAAATGTTGGTTTTCAAGAACTAGCACAATGTGGTTCCAATAAATTTTATGTTCTTTAAAATTTCTTGATCTCAGACTTGGTATTGCAAGTCCTAGAAATAACTACATTTTAGAAGCTCTTTCTTTAACTATTAAAGCATGGGAAAATTCAAACACACATACATTTGTATTTATTTAATCCTACTGTTTTCTTTAAAAAAAGGTATTTATGGGTCCAAACAAATAAGTACATATTGGGTACCTACATTAAAGTTCTTTAAATTAAGATGTTATGAATTCCTAATGCAGACAAAAAGGTGTAAATATTGACATTTACCAGCTGGACAAGCTGAGACCTAGCCTTCCTTTACTTTACAGTAGAACTTGGAAGCATACACTCACAATGTGGAGCCCAATGCAGGATTGCAGAAAGTAATAATTCATGCAGTTTAGCAATCCAGTTCACTTCTTCCAGGAAAATCCATAAGTTTCTTTGGAAAACACAGGGCAAATTGTCCAAAACTAGTTGCCAATTGCATTTGGAATGGAATTCTGAATTCTGTAGAATGGAATTATTTGTAGCCTTTTGCTCAGTCACAAGATTTTGGTGTGTGTATCTACCATCTATCACTGTATATCTACCATGTGTCAAGTGCTTGATCGATGTGAAAAAGCAAAATTTCTCATATCTTTGACAAATTAGGCATTTGTTAGATTTTGTTATTTTGGAACTGCTGATGGAAGAGAAATAGTGTAAATACAAAGGATGGAGAATAGTTGACATAAAGAAATGGAGAAATTTAGAAAAAAAATCTGCTCTTTGTACAGACTTCCATATGATGACAGACTTAATATTGCTTTTTATGGCCTGGAAGAGGGTGATGCTGATCTGCTGAAGGGGTTTGACTCCCTGAACATGGAAGAGAGATCCAAATTTCTGTATGACTTTCCACAGATAGCTATGACTCCACAGAGACTCCACTGTTTCCATTTGGTAGTGAGCACCATAATGTACAAAAATAAAAACCAAACAGACATAAAGATCTTGAAAATTACATAAACAAATATAGATAGAATATTCTTGTTCCAAAGTTTATCCTAGGGCTCCAGATGACAAAAACATTGAAATATTTGTTTCAAAAGGATTAAAATTATCATGAATTCTGCTCAAGCATCAACCTGCATCCTGTTTCTATTGGAAGCAGAGAAAAGTCAGAGGTCACAGGCACTGCTTTTTTATCTACTCACATATTTTTGGAGGTAAAAGGAGGATGGGAAAGGGATTGTGAAAAAAAAAAAAAGAGGCAAAAAATTATATATACAAAAGGAGCAAAGGGGTAGCTAGCTTGCTATTGAAAGAACAAGAGGATAAGTTTAGAGAAAGACTGTAAAAACATCATAGGCAAGAGGAATTCTAAGGTTCCCGAAATTTGTAGGATTTCTTGTTTGATTCTGCCTCTTCCCATGGACTGCTAGCAGTTTTCTGCAATTAGCTGCAATTTGTTCCTCTCCACATTTGGTACAGTTTCTATCATCTGACTCATGAATACTCATGAGTGTCAACATTTTAGCCTTTCTGGTGGATCAGGACTGAATTTCTGCTGCCTCCCACTTAAATAAGTTAGACTTCAGAAAGCCCACAGGCTCTCATGGAGTGCAACTGGGGCGAGGAGATGAACAGATGGGCAGCAGACAACAAGGAAGAGCTTGTTGCATAGATCAAAGAATTCAGAGTGGCAGCACTAACTCCAAGTTATTATGACCCTTTGGTATGAAAGAGGGAGGTTTTAACAAGTGTTTGAGGCACCTTTTGAAAAGACTTTAAGTGTGTATTTAACTTATGATGCTGAAGTCACACTTGAATCAACAAGATTTAAGTGTATCTCTTAGCATAGGCAGTATGTGCTGTGAATATTCTGAAAACATTGATCCTATTCCTGTGCCAATAAATAAGTTAGCATAGGAAAAAAGTGTATTCCAACTATACTGAGTAGGGTTATCCTTGAAAGTTTCTTTTTTGATTTTGCTTTCATGGGAAGAGACATCAAATAAGTAATCAAACACAGCTATGAGAACACGTGATAAAACGTTGTGCAAATGGAAATTAAACATGATTTCTCATCAATATCTGTGCTTTTGGAAAAAGCCTCTATACTGCGTGAAAAGCGCCATATGTCAGTTTTATATTCCTACAAACCTTCATTTCCTAGAGGCAGTCATTGGCTGAAGATCTATAGAGAAGAGGTTTTTTCCATGTTTTCAGAGAGATGATATTTATTGAAAGTTTCCCTGTGGAAACTTCTGGGCACCATAATGTCTTCAGAAAAGTCTTAAAAATTAGTTTCTGCTTGGTGGCAAATATATCATGAAGGCTCTGTGACCAGCTAACAACGATCCTGCTGTTGCTGGAGAGGAGCAGGTGGACAACACACAGCAGATTTGATGAGTTCAAATAAGCATGTTGCAGACCCTCTGCAAAAGAAGCATAGGCCAGCAATATCAGATAGGCCTGAGGTGATGTGGGCATTCTTCAAGCCAAACTTCAGAAGTCCCTAATTCATATCTGCAATACTGACACATCTCCCAACTCTCCAATTTCTGCCCACTCCCCATTCCAAGTCCCCCTTCCTCAAACCATTTCAGTCATGTGCCATCTCTAAATTGGTTGCTCTTTATACACCTGTGACATACTCAACTATTTCTGTCCAATCACTGTCTTCAAGCTGCTCTTGTGATGCAACACAGTGCAAATACAGACCCAAAAGCTGTTTCTGTGGGCGGGCTATGAGAGAAGAACTTACTAGAAGAGGACTGAATGAGACCAACTAAATAATCCTGGAGCTCTCAAACACGAGACCCATGCAGCCATTTAAACTGCTTGAGCTTTAGCCCTGCTTTGTGTCAGCATTTTAGTTTTTTCACAGAAAAGATGCTTGTTTTATGTCATACCTTCCATAGTCTCTCAGTTTTGAGCATTTCACAATTAACTCCATCCATGACAAATAAACCCTGACAGAATTCAGTGCATGGGAGACAGATGTAAATGAGCAGCATTGCTTTGACCAGCTGTATCTGGCTGAACCTCAGCAGCAAGCTGCCTGTCAGACTCTGCCATTAAAAGACAAAACCCTCACATCTTGTGAGCTGGTGTGTGTGTTTGTGTGTGCTGCAGAGGCCTGAGCTGGAATAGAGATCATGCTAAATGGGGAAGAAGAGAGCCTGTGGTGGAGCAGCTGCTGCAACTCAGCACAGCTTCATTTAGATTTTCCCTCCTCCCACAACAAATGCTAAATCTACCCTGCTAAAAAGGAGTTTCAACCATGAAGATGTTCTTCACAGAACAGGATTATAAAGCCCTGTGATGAGCCTGGAGTGAAATTATATATAGCCTGTGAAATGAATGTACTTTTCTTACCCTGCTCCGGTTGGTGTCATGAAAGAGATTTTGCCTCTCAAAGCAGTAAATGTAATCTCTCATGGATAGATCCCAAAATGTCCACTAAATGTGTGACAAATTTAGACGACTGTTAAAAAGGAATGTAGTGGCCTTGCCTGGGGTCTTTCTTTGTGTTTTTGGGGCAAGGGGAGCATGTGTGTGCATGTGAGTATGTGCGTAGGAAAAGGAGGGCTCAGCCACTCGATCAGATTTCATTAGGTTTCTAACTGCCAGCTTTAGGCTAGTGGTTTTGGAATATTACTTGGGATAATTTCAAGTATTTTCAGCTTTGAAAAGCAAGTTGTTGTAGTTTCTAATTAAAAGAGAGGAAAAAAAGGCCCCTTTGTCAGTTAATAAATAATGCTCATTGACACTTCAGTTCAAAAAAACAGGAAACTCTGGAGCTTTCCTTTCTCCTATCTCAGCTAAGGGCTCTTGGCAAGAGACAGTGTCCCCAGCAGAGGACCACCTGCAGCTCAGGAGCAGCCAAGATCTCAAGCTGAGATAGAGATTTTTTTTACACGACCATGATGTCCACTTCCACTCCAGGCCATCTTGAGACCAGATGCATCCAGATACAGAAGTGGAGGCTGCCAGATTTACAGTATAAAACACCTTCTTCTAGCATTACTCAGTCTATGGGATCCCTGGCTGCTTATTTTATCCCTCATAATATTAGAAAAGAATATGAATCCTGCCAAGTTTAGTAGTTTCATGTAAAGCAATGACAAATAACCTTAAATGGTAAATTCTCTAGGAGCTCTCTCATGCCTGCAAAGTACCATGAACACTCTTGCTGAAATATACATATATTTATATATGTATATAACATCATCTCATGGATAGGGAAAAGATATACTTAGCATTTCTTCTTGCCTCATTCATGTCACTTATTTTACCTTGTTGTGACAATTCTTATCCTTACCTAATAACATCAATATTATTTCATGCAGTTGTTTTGGTATCTTCAGAAACTTTGGAAAATATTTTGATATTCTCCAGATACATGGAGTTTGAGATCATACCCACTTAGTGCTCAACTGAAGCTACAAATAAGACTCATCCTGGGATTAGTCAAGGGAATAGGAAGTTGGTAGGACTGAATTATCTGCTATGCTAGTGCTACACATTGTCCTAGAAATCATTGTATGTAGATTAGTGGAAGTTTTATGTGTAGAGATCTTCAGACACTATAGGTGAAATTAAAATCTAGCTCTAAAATTAATCGTGGCTGGAGACCACCACACTCATTGTTATTTCTGTGGCTCATGTGAGTGTAAGGACAGCTAAGGAAATTGAGAACAAGAACAGCTGAGCTGAACCTTGTACCTCAATATAAGAAAGGTGGGTTGGTAAAAATTCCTCTGGCCTCTCAGAAACTTTTGTTCTTGATTCTGTTTCTGTGATAATGATCCAAAAATTTTTGGAAGGGTCCCTTCATAGAAGTTTTACATGACATCAGCTTTCCCTGTGACCAGCTCAAAAAACTACTCTAAGAGGTATATATGGAAACAATAAAGACCTACTGTTTTTATGGAAGTGTAATGCCATCCAAACCAACATCTATGGAAACTTTCATTAAAAACATAACTCTGAAAGACTCACTACTAGTAATTCAACAAAAAGAACCCTTGTTTTTTAATGTGAGAGTCCTGTAATGTCAGGTTTATCAGAGAAAAAAAAAGCTATTCATATCAGAGAGAAGTCTGCATGTGAAGATGATGAAGGACTGCTGAGCTTAGAATTTTATGCAATGGAGGCTCAAGAATAGGTGTTTTATGCATCATATGCCATTGAAAATGATATAATTTTTTCATTCAGTATTATGCCTGCACTTTACAGGGGACACTGAACTCCTTGGGCAAGCTTTCCATCAGCTGCTGACAATGTGATAAACTGTCCTCACTCTATTCTTCTCAGTCTGAACATCTTTCAGTTCCCCGTGCCCAATCCTCTGCCATCCCCAGGGCACATACACCTGTGTGAGGAAATACTGATGTAACTTAGTCTCAGCTCTAAAGGATTACAAATGTTGTAGAAGAGGCTTTGACAACTCCTAGGACAGCAGAAAAGTGATTTTACATGAGTCTGATCCCTCATGCATGGCCCGTGTCTGTCCAGTGTGTTTAAACTAGTCTTTTGTATCTTAAACACATGGAAAATTAATCAGACATGTATCAGTATATGTACAAAAATATGATTGCTGAATGATTGCTTTTTCTCAGGTGGCTGAGAAAAATTGTGGAATAGCTTATAAATAATCAAATACCCTTTGAGAAATATTTTTAAGTTAATGAGTTAATATTAATTCAACAAAGGGGCAACAGCATAAACGGTGAAGTTCTATCATGAATGAGGATTTGACTATAAAGCAAGAGTAAATAGTCAGCTTTCATGACTATTTTTAATAAATTGAAAAAAAACACTAGAGTGTGTAAAAAATAGATGTCCTAATATAATTTCGATCAGAATTAAACTGTCCAACTGAGAATTGAAGATTGCTTGCATTTATTTTAGATTGCTAACTTGCTTTTTAAAAAATATTTTAGATTATTTTATTGAGCAAACGTTTTTGTTTTAGTTTGATTGAATAAATAGAATATCCACTGTGCTTCTAATTGAAGAGTTATTTTAGGTCTCATAAACCATTATCATTAATTTTTTTCAGTGGCCAGTCCTGCTAAAACATGGCTGTGACATATCATCTGCTGACATTACTTTTTACTTTTTTTATACGGATGGAGAACCCTATGAAAGGGTCTTTAAAACATTTAACAGGGCTTTAGATAACAAAGTTACAGAGTATGGCTATCATGTAAGCCTTCAGTGCTTACATGATAGGTACAGGATTTTGATAGGTAATACTTTGTACTTACTGTAATTGCTTGTTCTTGCAGATTGCAGAGTAATCCGAAAAGAATTTTATAGTCACTCTACATTAACATAGAACAGGAGAGGTTGCAATGTGTACATTCCTTCTTTGATAATGCAGGCATAACAAAAAAATTAAGTAGGTGTGCCACCAACCTGTTTATTTCCCACAATACAGGCTGGTTGTTTCAAAGCAGAGACATCAGACATACTGGTGTGGAAAACAGCCCTGGAGTAGCAAGTACAGCAAGTTCAGACAGGTACAGATAATAGCAAATTTTTTTTTCTGCATTTCAGGTGCAACAGCTGAAAGCTGAATGAAAGCCAGTTCTTTTCAAGTCTGTTACAGAATAAGGCTCAAATATATTTTAGCCTGAACAAGGTATTATCAGTTTTAATACTTTGGGGAAGCGGGGGTGGAGTGTGTAATTTATCTGCATTTTCTTTAACATATGTTCATTTATGAGTTCATTTGTTTAATCTTTGTGTGGTATTTTATCAAAAACTAATTTTTTTTTCATAAATAATTTCTATTCATTCTTATTATATAAGCAAAGTTCTTACATTTGCCTGTGGAAGAGAAACAGGACTTATTTGAAGAGAATGAATCATTGTTAGCTTTGCTCACTGATGTTGTACATTTATCAACTTTAAAAGTTCCAAGTCAGATTCTCAGAAAGATTAGGTGTAACTTGCTATTGATTCATAATTTATTAATTAGAAAATGTTAGTTTGATGTATCCCTTGGCAATAGTCTTTCTTGTGATATATTTACAGATCATAAAGCAAACATAAACCAGGAAGAAAAATAATGAAAGCCTGTCCAATATAAGCATGGATGAAACCCCACCAGCAACTCAGCTGCAAAAAGTAATTCAGTTAATTGCATGCTTGCATTTTAGTCCATCCCAAACATTTTTATGCTTTGAAGGATCACTAATAATCATATTCAAAGAAAGACAATTCCTCACCCAGATTCTCAATATGCACACAGAACAAAGCATTCATGGACACAGGAGTTGGCTGCGCTTGCAGATGTGCCATGAACAGCACACTACCTTTGCCATCCCTTATTTTGCCAGTAATCACCATAAAAGATTCAAGACACACTGCCATAAATGATGGGTCAGTAAATTGTTTTGAGAAGAAATTAGTTGCACTGGTTCAGGTGCTGTCTTTCTGCTGTGCTGTGGTGGGGAGCTTCCCTGGGGCAAGACACACAAGACACATTCCTCTCACTCTTCAAATAAAGGGAATGAGAAATAGCAGCTGAAACAGGGACATAATATCCTGACAGAGTTTACCTGGGCTGAGTTGAAAGTTTCATATGGAAAATTAATTAGGGGATCACAGCTTGTTATGGGAATGTGAGGGGATGGGAACAGGAAAGGAAATTGTGAATAACAATTCTGAGGAATCCAAATCATTTTCCCTAGATTAGTCAGGTGCAAGAAATTCTGGAAGTCTCACGTCATTTCTTAAAATCCAGCCTCCTAAAATGAGAATATTGCAAGTGTACCAATCTGATATTGGTTAACCATAACATTGTTAACAATTACCTCATACTTCAAATCTTTGCCAGGGGTTTCTATTTGCACAGAAAAAGTCTGGCAGTACCCACAGCCTTTGCTTCAGGCAAAGCCTCTCAGGTTGTTCTCCATGTTTTGCATCTTTCTAAATGCAGTCTTTCTATAAGGTTCCCTGATTTCATTCTTTCCATATGTTTTCTCCTTGGCTTTTGCCCAGTTGCCTGAAGTTTCAGGGCTGGGTTCTGCCCCAGGTGGTGTCACAGAGAGAGGTGGGCTGTGCCCACCCCCTGGCCTGGAGCCCACCGGAACTTTCCCAGTGTCTCCAGGCTCTCCATCCCACCAAGGAGGCAGTGTTCTCCTTGCTGTCCCCAAAACCTTCGAAGATCCCCTAGAGCCATCACCCTCCCTCCCGTTTGGCCTGAGCACATACAAAAATGGAAATGGATCCCAATTGCACAAATGGGCAATTCTCAACAGCCAAATTAGTGCCAGGCAACTGATAGAGAGCATTTAAATATCTGAAGCCAGGAAGCTCAGAAAAAAACACCCAGATGTATTTGAGGTAACTTAAGTTGGCCAACAGGGGACTCCCAGGCAAGAGCAGGGTTCAGCTCTTTTTTAAAAGATAGTTCTGCAGATTTTTTAATAGAGGGGCAGAGGATTCTGTTAACATATACTTCACAGCTACAAATCAATTCCAGGAGGGTAGATGTAAAAGTGATGTTAAAAAAAGCAGAAAGAGGAAGTCTGTTATCCCAGCTGAATTCAAAGAAATGAATCCTGAAATTTAAGTCCCATAAATTTGATTTAGAACAAGGTCTTGATATAAAATTGCTTTCCTCCCAAGAGGGCTGCCTTACACTGAGAATATGCTGAGCAAAGTCTGTGTTTGTTGAAGGTGACCCACTTGACACACATATTAGTAGCTGTATGAACAGAGATTGTGATCTAAATATAGTAATTTTCACACTCTATCTAAGCTCAGTGAATAATTAAGTATTTTTGCACAGTAGAACAAGAGAGACTGAGACGATATCAGAACTGAACATCTCTAGCTTTGGTCTGCAGTGTTTAGATGACCTAGGCTTAAATCCTATACACAGATCAGACAGAGGAACCATCTCTCTTTGGATATCCCACCCTGCCTAAGCCCTCCCAACACTGATTTCTCAGTAGTGAATAACAGGGGAAGAAATGGACTTGAATCAGTGTGCTTTGTTGGAAAAGAATCACCTATGGTCCTAAAAGAAGCTGAGATGGAAGGTAAAGGAAGATATTTCTGTAACATGATAGAATTTAGCCCAAGTTACACACTAATTTTATGATGTCAAGATTTAGACAGAAATATGCAAGAACTTAGGCCCTGGAAATTGTAAGCATCAAAGACAAGTCAGGGAAGAATATGAGGTGAATGGACAGAAAAGTAAGTTTAATCGATCTTTCCAAACCTTCCCAGCTTGAATATGTAGCAGAAAATTGATTTAGAGTCATGTTCTCTAGTGAGAAATTAACGCTGAAACAGGAAAAAAAAAAAAAAAACTATGGAAAAGACTCTTGTTTGTTTCAATGAACAGAAAAATTCTCAACAGGTTTATAGAAAGGCTGGATCTGTTCATTTGCATTCTTTGGCTGACTTATAGTAAAACAATAAACACACAGCCTATCTTGAAAAAACACTATATCTAAAGCTAGATAATTCAGAAGTTAGGAAATAGAGTTAAGGGCTATCTTTGTGAGAATAATCCAGCGTTTTGTGCATATGCATCAAGATAGAACCCCAGACCACCCTTGCCCTGTCCTATGTTCAGGATGGATGGTAAGCAGGTTTATAAAAATTAGTTTCTTCTGTGGGTTGAATATGTGGTCTCCAGTGTTTTACTCTAAACTGTTTAAATGCTAGTCAAGACAGAATTTATTTTTCCTCTAATTTTTTTTATTTCTTAGGACCACAGTGCCTATGTGGGATACTTCTGTATATTTCCCACCTCAGTGGAAGCAGGAGCACACAGGCGGCTCTGAGTCTCTAAGTCTCAATTGACAGGATATTGGAGGATCTGGATTTCAGCAGAGCTGTTTCATTCCCATCCTGTACACTTGACAAGTCATCAGGTCTTGGAAGCAATTAAACTAGTTAGTTAAAATCCCTATTGCCATATATACTCAGTGGGGATGTGTGTGTTTTAAATTATTCTTTTGCATGATTCATTTGGCGTCCTTAATAACATCACAGCACAGTAATTTTCTAGCTTGCTTGTTTTTCAGGACAAAACTTTGAGACACAATAGCCCCATGTAGCTCTACAGGCTGGGGGCAGAGTGGTTGGAAAATGGTTCAGTGGAGAAGGACCTGGGGATGCTGGTAGAGAGAAGCTGAACATGACCCAATGTGTGCCCAGGTGGCCAAGATGGCCAATCTCATCCTGACTTGTACCAGGAATGGTATGGCCAGCAAGACTGGGAAAGTGATTCCTCCCCTGTACTTGGCACTGGTGAGGCCTCACTCAAGTGCTGAGAGCAGTTCTGGGCCCTCAGCTCAGGAAGGACATTGAGATGCTGGAGTGTGTTCAGATAAGGGCAACGAAGCTGGGGAAGGTCTGAAGCGCAAGTCTGATGAAAGCACCTGAGGGAATTTGGGTTGTTTAGCTTGGAGAAAAGGAAGCTCAGGAGTGACCATATCACTCTCTACAACTGCCTGATAAGAGGGTGTAGCCAGGTGGGAGTTGATCTATTCTCTCAGGTAACCAGCAACAGAATGAGAGGTCATTAAACTGCACCAGAGGAGGTTTTGGTTGGGATTGGAAAGAATTTCTTCACAGAAAGAGTGATTGGACATAGGAATGGGCTGCTCAGGGAGGTGGTGGAGTCATGGTCTCTAGAGGTGTTTAAGGAAAGACTGGGTGTGGCACTCAGTGCCATGGTCTAGTTGGCACGATGGTGTTAAGTCATAGGTTGGACTCAACTATCTTAGAGGTCTTTTCCAACCGAATTTATTCTGTGATTCTTTGATGATGTGTTATAGCAGATTCAGGATGATGCCTTCCTTTAGTTATTTGAGGATCATTTTAGGAACATTTCCGACACCAAGGTCCCTCAGAAAGAGGGGGTCTCCACATTTTCTGTTGGATAATAATGCTTTTACAACTGGCTCTTCCATGGCACTGACTACAGAAATGGAGACAAACTCTGATTCACAGAATGGTTTCATTTGGAAGGGGACCTTGAAAATCACCGAGTTCAACCTCTGTGCTATGAGCAGGGGTACCTTCAACCAGACCAGGTTGCTCAAAGCCCATCCAACCTGGCCTTGAACACTTCCAGGAATGGGGATCCACAACTTCTCTAGGCAACTTGTTCAGGTGCCTCACCACACTCACAGTGAAGAATTTTTTCCTAATAACTAATCTAAACTTACTCTCTGTACATTAAAAGTCCAGAATTTTTTTCTCTCTTTATGAAGGTATTTGGGTTTTTGCAAAGCTTAAAAAAAAAAAAGAGCTGAATTGTGTGGTGCATCTCATTTAAAAACAGAAGTTTGTTCATTCTTTAGAGTTCTCTCAAAAAAAGCATAAAACGACTTGTGTCCTCAGAGCAGAAGAACTCAGAGAACAACTGGAGTGGCACTGTGGGTTTTTATATCTCCTCTGTTCCTGTTTTTAATGCATGATCAAACTTAACACAAAAGCACAGTGAATATTTCTTTGCAAATTACTTTAGCTTGTGGCGTGACAGTGTGGTCTGAAGAAGGGATGACAGTGTGGCATAAACAGAGATGATTTCTCATTATAATATCTATCTGTCTTCTGCCCTGAACTCAGGAATCACAGGCAGTGTAGGAGTTACTAGGATGGCTTTGGAAGATTTCAGTGTTATTTTCTTCAGGTTAAGGAGTTTGCCTATTAACTCAACTTTTTCTGTGGAAAATCTTGTGCCAGTGATTTACAGAAGACAGTATGTGAAGGGATAGACTAAAAGAAATATGTTAACTGTTTTTATGCACATATGCTATCCTTTTCCACCATAATTAATGCTTTTGTAATAGAAAAGATGGCCAGAGTCACATAGGAGAAGATCAGTTCCCTGCTTTCTTGTGAGGAGAAAGTCAGGTAAACTTAGAGGTTTCAAGAACTGTCTGTTGCCTGCCTTAAATCTCAGCTCAGCATTGAGATTTGAGGTGCACAGTTTGTTGGTGCACCATTTGGTTTCCATTTATTATGAATTTAGCTTTCTGTATCCTACAGTGTATCAGGTGGATCAGCCTAAAGGACTGACAATTGTAAAAGCTGGTTTTCTGCACCTGACTGAAGTCACTCTGAGGGCTGAGTTCTTTCTTCCCTTCCTTCCCCAAAGCCCTGAGTGCTTGGAGGAGGTTTGCCACCCTTACAGATGCTTTCCTGAGAGCTGCCATGATGGGAAATAACATCTGAGGGTCTAGGTTACAAACCTTCTTGATTATCTGTGTTCGTATAAATCACTACTTAGTCCTGCAAATTACAGACAACTAAAGCTAGAGTCCTGTATATTCTTACTTTTTGCTATTTATACCTAATGAAAAATCAAGCCATGTTTCCTTGCAAATGGACAGAGAATGCAAAACTGAGCCAGAGTGTGAGACTTCAACAATTGTGCATTACAATAGTTTTGGGAAACTGCTCTTAATCCGTAATTTTCCCCACAGTAATTCAAATTATTTTTCTAAGTGATTTCAGTGACCTTTTCGTAGCAACACTCATGTTGCTATGGCAAGGCTTATATTAATATTAAAAGTTGCTCTCAGACCACATGCCTCCACTGAGACATACAAACGTTTGAAGGTGGGAAATCTGCCAAGATATTCTTTCTACACAAATAGGAAAAGGAATGCATAGTTAATCATTGTTTTACTCAGAAGCAAGCAAAGAATGATACATTTGTACCTTATATAGGCACCATTTCTCAACCATTCCTCATTTCTTTCAAGTAGAAAGTAAGGCCCAAAACTTCACAGAGTTGTTTACAAATATTACAAAAATATCTGGGTGTACAAACAGGTTGACAGGATTTTTCATAATCATGGTTGTCTATGTTTACTCTCAAAAGAGAAATCTTGGCCAAGCTCAAAAATATATATTTTCAGTATCAGTATCAATGAGAAACTTCATTGACTTCACTGGGCTTGCAGAACTTTTGGAAGTGTGTCAAAAAGCCTATAAAAGCAGAAGATTAAAAAAAAAAAAAAAAAAGGTTATAGAAGGCTCTTTGCAATATTTCAGGATCAAATTCTGCTTGTTTAACACCTTCTGTCTTCCCAGGAATGTTTCTTCTTAGAAGGAAACATTTTTCAGCACTCTCCAGCTCTTAAGCAGAACATTTTCTACACTCTAATTTCTTTTGTCATGAATATCAGTCAGTACATGTGATTTTATTCATCTACAGACACATTTCATAAAAGATCCGTAAGCAATAAAGGATTAAAAAAATACCTGTTTCAGTTAATTGTTTTTGACAGCCACAAAACCTGGTGTTGAGTTTGGCCTGTAGACATATCTCTGGGCACTGCCTAGACCAGTGGTGTGATGGATGGCAAACACTTCTGTATTTACTGTGGCACAGTGCCCAGCCTTTATTCTGTCTGCTTCCTCCTCTTTGCAGCCCATGAGGTCTTCAGGTTTTTTTCAAATGATACCAGAATTCCAGACTATAGCTGAGACATACATGTCTCCAAGATACCCTCTTATTTTATGAGAAATGTCAGTCTCTACCTAATGAGCCCAAATAAGCTATAATTAGCAGAAAGCCTCTTTATACCCCTAATAACAGAATGGTCAATTGTAAATCAGTGGATGAGGTCATTATTTTCAGTGAGACTCTTCCGTCAAACACCAAGATTTCATAGCTAAAAAAGCAGAGACTTCTTATAAACTACTAATCCTCATTCACTTCATAAGTAGCTTAGCAGAGTTCACATGAACATATGAATCACTCTGTGTATCTTTTTTCATTAATTTATTTTATAACTGTTCCAAAGAAAACTCTTTTATAACAGCAGTTTATAGTGTAATAAACTTCCCAGCATATTCATGCTGTTATTGTTGCAAAAATTAAGATTTCTTTTTTTTTTTTTTTCTTCTTATTCTTTTTAAGGAAGTGAATATTTGGATTGTGAATATTTCAGTCCCGTTAGCAATAAAGTTCAGAATCACTTTGGCTAATTCAATGAACAATCCAGCAACTCCATGAAGCAGAAGTTCATGCAGACGTATGTTTGGGTAGCGACAGATATGCAGACAAAGGGAACAAACCTCTTTGGTGTTTAGGTAACAAACATGGAGAGATAATTTTTTCTTAACTCTTCTTAACACTATTGAGTGAGAATGAGTTTCCTCAAAAGTTCACTCAAAATGTCTGTCATCTATAGCAGACTGAGGATTGAAACTTTTTAAAAGCCAGAGCAGAAGCAACAGAGCTACTGATAGGTGTGATCCAGCTGTGGTTTATGGAGAGCAAATAGATCTGTCGTAATACTGCTGTTCCCACACTTACCTCATCCTCGAGATTCCAAATAGAAAGGCCTACTGGCATCATCTGCTGCATTGATTTGTTATACCTTGATAGGAATTGAAGTGAAATCACAAAAACAAAGGTTTAAAAGTTAGTGAGAGATAATATCAATGAAAGAGAATGGAGGGTGAAATCTACTGGAGGTTTTATGCCTAGAGAGTGCATTTCTGTGCACAAAATACCCCTGTAATAGCATTATCAGAGTTTAAGCCACTTCTGAAATGTGTAAATAAACAATTGCTTTCAGTTACCTACAGACCTATAGAAGTACAAATGCTTTTCATAGCTTACAAGGAGATTCAGTGTGAGATAATTGCTTCTAATATGTGTGGGAGGTGCAGTTTCACAGCAGGATTTTACATTGATGATTAATAATAGTGTTATTAAAAATTCATTAAAATTACTTTTGAAGGCTGGTAAGCTCTGCTGTACTTAAATGAATTTCATTGTACTTTTCTATTGCTGTAATGGTGGAGGAAGCAAACTTACAAATTATTTGTTTTAAATAAGAACAACAATAAAAATAATATGCAGCAGCTCTTTAAACTTTCACTTAAGAACTATTTTTAAATTATATACAAAACATCTGTTACAGATATTAAAATATCTGGGACTGTCTTCCAGATGTGAAATAATGTTTATCAAAGGA